ATGGAGAGCCACTTTAAAGTGCCCCACCACTTCTGGAGCTTCGCCGGGGTGACCTCCAACGTGACCGCCTGGTTCATGAGGTGCCGGACGTCGCCGGCCGTCCAGGGGAGGTTCTGGAAGCCGATCTTGCGCATGCCCTCATAGGCCAAGCAGTGTGCCCGGATGGTACGGAACCGGGCATCACCAAAGAGGTGGAACTCCTCCAGCTCCCTGGCCCCCATCACCTGGTGCATGTAGGGGATCTGGTGCCGGAAGGGGATGAAGTATCCCAGGAGGCGTTCCAACCACCTGGCCCTCAAGTGTTGTTCCAACGCTCTCTGAGATGTCGGCAATTGGGTTTTGATCTTCCCTGGTTTCCAATGCCGCCACTTGTTGGCCACTGCCAGGACATCCGGGGCCTCAATCGATCCGGAAAGGATCCACTCTTCGCGGTCCCGGATGGCCTGTTCCATTTCCAGTGGAGAATAGGTGTGCGATTGCCTGGCGCCTGCCGCACGAAACAGAAGTTGTTGCAGGGTCTTAGTAGCGAGCTCCAAATCCGCCTCCTCCAGCGGTTGTGGTTGGGAGCCGAGTATCCTCGCGAGGATCAAGTTGTAGGTGTCCGAGGCCACCAGGACGTGGTTGCCGTCAGGTGCCAGCCCCACGATCCGTGTCCACGGCCGCGGGTCAAAGACCACCGCATCCGGGTTGGCGACCTTGTCCTTTTTGACCCATTCCAGGCAGCACGCCACGAGGATTTCCCCGTCCGACTGCACTGGTGCAAATCCAAGGTCATGCAAAATCAACTGGAGCGCGGTTGGCGCCCCTAGGAAGGTCGTCCCAAACGGGGAAGGGAGGCGGGGCCTCCACATCATCATGATCCACTCGAGCCGGGGGCCTAGTCCCTAGGTGCAAACCCCAACCAAACAACAGGGGGCCCCCCAAAACCCCGGAAAGTCAACCCCGAAACGGAGGAAACGGGGGGAAAAAGGGGGACCCAGGGAGCCGCCCCGAAAAGGGAAAACCAAACAAGAGAGGGGAACCAAGGCGCACCCCGGATCAGCCCAAGCCGCGCCAATTTTCCTCGCCTGGTGCAAGTCTGGGCCTGCGCTGTTCCCTGGGGGGGGATATCAGCGCCTTCGGCAGCTGTCCCCCCCGGGGTGCGCTGCGCATCCGTTCCGGATGGCCGCGGTCCTGGATGGTGTGCCGGAAGATGGCGTTGTCCCGCATCATCACGCGGCCCCCTTCGCGATGTCATCGATGCGCTTGAGCGCAGCAGCCTCCGGATTCCGCAGAATCAGCTCCCAGATGGCATTGGAGACGTGGCCTGTCTGGGTGGTCTGGCTGAATCTGAACCTGGGCACCTTCTGGTCCACGATGGAGACGTCCCGCAACGGGGCCGAGGGCTCCACCCGGCGGTAGTACTCCAGCCGCTCCTTCACCCAGCGGTTGTAGAGGCCCTCCGGCGGCTCGTCCAACACCAGCTGCAAGATGGCCTTGCCGGCCCGGATCTGGAGGAGGCGGGTGCCCCCTCCCCCGGCACGCCAGTACCCCTTACAATACTTGCACATGTAGCCCCCCCGGGTCTCCCCTTTTGTCTTCGGGATGAGTTCCCACGGGGTGACGGAGCTCAGGACCAGGCCACACTCCATGTGCGCCCAGAAGACATGCTTCATCTCCACCGGATAGTTCTTCTTCCGGTAGTCCTTACCCACCACGCCGTGGACGTTGTCCGCCATGATGGGGGGGTAAACGATCCCCTCATCGCCCTCGCCTCCCCTGGGGCGGATGTCAGGGCCATCGGCACCTGTCCGGCACCCAGGGGCGGAGGGGTCCAGGCCCATCAGCTTGATCATGTCGTTGGTGTAGCCGAGCTTGCGGTAGATGGAGGGGGCCACTGAGTCGGGGACTGCGCCGACCCACCACTGCTTCGTGTTGCAGCGCCAGTTGACCTTCACCTCCGCCAGGGCCCCCGGGCCTCCAATGCGGTCCATGAGGGGCCTCTGGGAACTGCTGGAGGCTCTCCACCGGGACCGAGATGCGCTCGTCGCATACCGCCCGCAGGATCATCTGCTCCTTGGAGTCCGCCACGTCCTGGACCGGGAGCTGCATCACCTCCGCCGGGGTGTCCGTGAGGAAGGCCCGGGCCGCGAGGACCTTGCCCATGGCCCGGTAGACCAATCGCCACTCCGGTCCTGTCTGCGGAAACGGAAGGCCCTCCTCCTTCAGGAAGCACCGCGCGTCCTCCTTCAGGGTCTCCCAGCCCTCCAGGCGGGTCTGATTCTGGGCCTTGTTTTTCGGGCCCCGCTGCCTAGGGCCCTGCAGCAGTGGCAGAGACTCCCAGACTCCCCAGAGCTGGCGCAGGGTGTAGCTGTGCCCGAACATCCCCAGTAGGCCTGGGAGTGTCCAGGACGAGATCTGGCGCGTCCAGTGGAAGTCCTCATCCGGATCGTGGGGGGCAGCCCAAAAGATGGATCGCAGGTCCCCAGGGTAGGGTCGGTCCCCCGCCTTCGCCTGGTTCAACTCATCCACGGAGTACCTGGCCCAGAAAAGTCCACCCACCTGGTGGTTCCTGGGATGCGTACCCTTCTCCAACGCCTCCGGATTCACCTTGCTGAGGTTTTTCGCCCAATCCGGGACGTGTACCGGGCCCGGTCGTCGGACCCAGCGGCCCGCAAAGATACGGACCTCTCCGACCCGTTTGCTCATCATCCAGCGCAGGACCGAGAGCTGCACCTCCGGGTCCTTGGTGTCCAGGCCCAGCGGGGTGGCGGACGGCTTGTCAGGGCCCTCGGCACCTGAGCCCGTCACGCCAGAGCCCGAGGCTGGGGGGATGGTGGGCGGCCTGTCAGGGCCCTCGGCACCTGGGCGCGCCGCACCAGAGCCCCCCGCCTTTGGCATGGGGATCCCTGTCAGGTCCGGCAGATTTGACAGGAGGGCCGCCGGGAAGGGATTCCTACCCAGCGAGATGACCGCCTTGGCCTCAAGGTAGGAGTCCGTGAGGGATGTGAGGTCGTCCATACTGAAGTCCCTCCATGCCGTTGTCGGCTCGAAGACCCCAGTCTCAATGGCGACCCGGACCTCACTAGGCCACGCACTGAAGGGAGGCGCGATGGGCTCGAGCATTCTGGTTTCGAGGGAGCCCTTCGCCTGTCTGGCTTGGTGTTTCGCTTTCGCCTCCTCCGCAGTGGTCTGGGCCTGGAGGAGCTCCGGTGTGGGTCTCCCCCAGTCCGCACCCAGCTTGTCCAGCAGCTTCTCACGGAAGAGGTCCAAGTCCAGGTTCTTCAGGAGCAGGCCTCCATCACCTCCTCCGTCAATGGCCCCCCCTTGAAGTTCGTGGAGGACCGCCGCGGAGCGCTCCACCGCTTCCACCTGGTCCGCCTTCTTGGCCTCCTCCTGGGCGATGGTGGTGGCGTTGAGCCGGGTCTGAATCTTGAAGGCCTTCACCGCAGACGGGTGGAAGGCTCTGCATTCCTGGCCCTCTTCCTTGTCGCCTGGCAATGGGGGCCTCTCCCCCGGTGGGGCCGTCAGAAACTCCTCGTCCAGCTCCATGGGGCAGTTCCTGATCACCGCCCGGACCGAGGAGGGGACGAAGTCCGAGAAGCTGGCCTGGTCCGGGTTCTCGCAGGCCATCGGGTCGGTGGCCAGCTCGCTGACGTCCACCGAGGCACTGAGCTTGAGGTCGCGGGCCCGGTCCGTGTCAGGGCCTTCGGCACCCGCGGACCGGGCCGCCGTCCAGACCGCATTGCCCTGGTCATCCACCGTCAACTGCCAATGCGTGCCCGCCATCTCCAGGGTGGCCGAGTTGGTCGCCGTGTCAATGGGCTCCGTCTTCTTGCCGCACCCCATGCACTTCGTGGCGCCCTTCTTCACCCAGGGCATGGTGCAGCAGGGGCAGATCCAGGATGTGGGCACCTTGCCCAGGGGGCGGTTCTCCAGGCCCCCGTACCCCAAGCCAGCGCGCTTGCCAACCTGCTGTCCCGGGGTGCTGAGCCGGGCCTCATGCTCGTACTTCATCTTGGCGATGTAGAAGGCCTCCACAACGCGCTCCAGGCCCCCCCTGCTTGAGTTGGGGGCCCTCAAAGCCTCGCAGGAGCCGCTGGACGTCCTTGGCCTGCAGTCGGCGGAGCCTAGTGGCCGTGGTCGCATCGAAGCAAGGGAAGTCGCCCGCCATCTGGTCGTCGCTGAACTGGTAGAGGCCCTCCGAGACCTTGAGGGCCTTGGTGAACACGCTCCCCCCCGGCGGGGGGGCTGCGGGGTTCTCATCCTCCTCCGAGGACGCCTGCTCCTTGACCTTCGCCATCAGCTCCCGGCGCCTCTGCCACTTGGCGTCTGCCCGGGCATCCAGGCGGGCCTCCTCCAAGCGGGCTGCAGCCGAGGGGAACCTGGGCATCGGCAGCTCCTTCTCGTCCTTCGCCAGGAGCTCCTCCATGGGCACGTCCTCCTCCGGCGGGTTCAGGAGCTCCAGGAACGCCCCTGAGGGGCGTGTCAGGGCCTTCGGCACCTGCGCCACCCCAGGGCTGCATCTTCCATCGGCTCATCCTCTGCCTTGCGCTTGGCCGGGATAAGGGGGGCCTGCTCCAGCTCATCTGCGCTGGAGAAGAAACGCTCGTCAGGTGCCTGAGGGACCTCAGCAGCCAAAACGGTCCATCCTTCTTCCTCCCTCTTCACGAGGCTCGCCAGGTACTTTGCCATGGAGGCCTTTGCCTTAGCCTTGGCCTCTGCTACCGCGGCACCAGCGTAGGCGGGGGCGTACATGGCTTTGAGAGTAGGGGAAAGAAAGATTTCAAATCACAAGACAAAAGATCAAAAGGTCCACTTGAGCCAAAATGGTGGCCCAAGTGGATACTTATTAAGAGTCAAGACAAGCGACCACCTACGGTTAACGCTTTAGCCCAAAAGACTTTTAGTGGGTTAAGTGGTAACCACCCGATTAAACCCCTAAAACGCTAAGATAAGCTAAGGAACCACCAGGGACATCTGGGAGTCACCAGGGATTCGACTGGATCCCTGGATCCCGCCTCATGCTCATAGGAGTGGTCCCACACGAAGGCGTGCCCGGCCTTGGGCTCCAGGATCTGATCCCCGACCTCTCGCCGAACCAAAGGCGAGCGTTGCTTGCGATCGCTGCGGGGAAGGAGTCGAATGGCTGTTGTCAAAACCGTGGTACTGGCACTGCTTCTCCCAGGAACCATGACTTGTTCAAGCAACAGAAGCACACTTTACAGCAGCAAATTGTTGAAGCATATGGCTGTGGTGGTCAATACCGTTTTGGGTTGGTAGGTGACTGTATTTTAGTGGGGATTGGGATGTTCAGTGGGGGTACGATTTGGATTTTGACCCATGGCCAAATGGAGTCTGACCGCGAGAAACACCCATCCAACGGGTGGTGACCCCCGAGGAAAAAAACACATCCAACTGGTGGTTTCCTTGAAGACCCCCAGGTTCATTCCCTCATGCCCTGAGCACCAGAAAGTTTGGGGTTGCAAGCGAAAGCCAAAGCAAAGGGCCACCATTTGGGGGTTCATAAAAACAAAAACGGTCCGTGATAAATGGGGTGACAAATTCGTCGGAAGATACAACTTTCACCACCTGGGAAAAGTTACCCATGGTCACTTTGGGGCCAGGAATATTGATAAACTCTCATTTGTGTGTCGACGCCCGAACAAGAAAAGCAACCAGTCCAAAACACCCGGAAATCAGTTCGCCAGTGGGAAAGAAAAGCACACCTAGCAGTTATTGGGCAAACTGACCATTTGCCCGGGGTCCATGACGCAAAAGGATGGCAGCAATCAAGTGTCATGTCTCTTCATTAAACCATGCATCGTGGAATCGGGGGCAACGGTTCGGATGAGAAATGGCCCAAAAGACCCAGCCAATTTATCTACTCTATTCTTCGTCACCTGGTAAAGTGGCCGCCTCCTTGCAATCAAAGAGTTGTTCCAAACCATGGCCCAGAGTCCGATGTAGTCTCACATTGATCGCCTGCGTAATGAGCACAAAGCTCATCGGACGAGCCAGGCAATAGCCAGCTTTGAGACAGCCGGTTGATAGAGACGGCAGTGGCATTGCGGCTGGCACTGCGTGAAGCTCCATCACACTCTTGTGTTCCCAGATCGGGATGGAGTTTGTTCCAAAGATCCCACATTCGAATCGCAAAGCGCGGCTGCCCATGGAGCGGCAACATGTGGATGAGAAGGCAGTTTGTTTGCACTGAGTTTCAAAAGGAAGAACAATGTTCCGCTGCTATTGAAAAGGCCCGCAAATGTCTGGCTTGGCACTTGGAGCATCAATCTAAAGTGACCAATGAAACCTTAGGACACACAAATACCAAGTGTCGAGACGCATGGCTTCTGTCCAAGTTGGCCGCTAGCTGAGGGATCCGCAGTCAAAGTTTCCCGTGCCTGGCATTTAGACAAGCTACATGGGTGTGTGGAATTTTTGAGGGTACTCCATGTTTAGTGGTTGTAAATGGAAACCAAAAGGAAAACCCACCATTTGCGGGATCGCCTACAAAAAGACACTCCCACATAAATTAAACCTGCAAAGCATACCAGGCATTTCCAGGCCCCTTGTCGTAATGCCCCCTGCGCAACTGTCCATCCCCACATGGAATTCCTAAACAAACCGCACCCGACTGACAGCCCAGTTGCCCAGTTCAAGAAAGGTTCTACCTGGCTACAGTGATTTCTTTCAGGGCTTCAGTGCTCTATGTCTCAGCAGAACATCTCTCCAGTGACTAAGTGACTGCCATGAGGCCCTTGATGGCTGGGAATCGGATTGCAGCTCTTCAGCACTGAAGCTAAGAGTCTAGTGGCACCTGTAGCCCCTCAGGAACGTGCCAGGTCGAATTGTTCCCGCCGACCATAGTGGATTTCCTATGGGTTTAACTCCGAGTTTGGCGCCGAATGCTCCAAGTCCCAAGAGCCCTTTGTATACGTCGCCGCAATCCAGGTTGTTTTTTCACATTTTCAGGGTCGACTTTTCTGGGGATGCGATTTTAACAAGGTTAATCACATCATGGGAAAATCACCTACCTCGTTTGGGGATGCAAAAAGGGATGTGATTTACAGTTCTTTGATAGAAGAAAAAGGTCGACCTCGGTAACTCAACCCACAGGACCCCGCCCGCAGGCGAAAGCCCTCGAAGCCGCAGAGAGGCAGCCTGGGAGGCTCTTCACGGATCCGGTGGCATTTTTCGAAGTTGCTCAGCACTCACAAATATGCTAGGGCAAAAAAGAAGAAGCCTGCCCACCTGCATTTTACATGGGCATTCCACTGGATTGTGTCCCCTTTCGCAGGGAATTTCATCCGTTCATGTACTGATGGCTTCCCTGGAAAGGCAAAAGACACTGCCATGACTTGCACAGTTACTTCTTTTGGACAAATACTTGCGTTGAACTGCCCGCATCCGCTGCCTTAAAATCGTGTTTGTTTGTGCCGGACATGTTAAAGGACTCCTTGTCCCCCAGCAACTTTCCGGCAATCGAGTATGCAGTGTTCACAGGGAGGGATGCCTGTGAAAGGAGTCTTCATGGGTGAAATCGCTTGAAAGTCCTTTGAGGTCGCCACAATCTTTCCCCGAATCATGACATGGCCTATGAAGCTGGTTGTGCCAATTCTTGATGTCCATCAGCCACACAACTCCGAGTCACTCCCGCACATCTAGCCACGCGTTCACAAAAATGGCCTGGGCCGAACATGGTAAGCAAGCACTGCACTACTTCAGCTCAAATAAACATTATACGGAAGACAACTACCAAAAACGCCGTCCCGCACAAGGCTAAACCGCCTCAAAAGAAGGAAAGGGGTTCCACGGTTGAAAGAAACCCTTGCTGTGGTTCCACTTACATTCTCAACTTGAAGGGGGTCCCTTGGTATCACGACACGTTCCAATACTGATTCAGAGGCAAAGGAACGTCATAGGGATATGGCCGCCGTTAATGGTCCTCATGCTGACGACATAGTCACTGTCCTCAGTTTCCCAAAGGATCCAGAAACAAGCTTGACATTTCCGGGCCATTACTAAACATGAACCATACTCGTGAAAGTAAAAGGTACAAGGTAAAGTTGTTTTGGGGGCAAACGAGTGCGAGGTTGCAATGGCCCCCCTGGTGGCTCTGCGTGGCCCGAAATGGCTTTGACTCGATTGAGGCTAGGGCCACACCCGCAGCATGCGGTTGGAGGGGCCGTGGTGCTTCACAATGTGGGACCCAGGGGTGAGCGCTGAAACGAACGCCTGCAGCATGACGCTGTCGGCTGTGAAATCCGAATCTGTCTTTTTCCATATACTTTGTATGCTTGGAAGGTCGCAATCATTCCTGCCGGAAAACGCCATCTTCGCAGGAAGCAAACCCTCTTCCGCGAATCTTCCGCGACTCCATCGCCACGCCCTTGTGTCTGCAGTGTACGCCCTGGAGCCATTTTGACTGCTGCAGCCACCCTTGCAAACACAGCAACCACGCCGAGCAGTTCACTTGCTCTGTCCTGGGACCAACGTGCGGAACCCGGCAACAAGCTCCAAGGGCTTTCGTTGCTCTTTCGCAGATCTTTCGCAGATCTTTCGCAGATCTTTCGCAGATCTTTCGCGAAACTTGCTCCGAAACCGCCCAGCCAAGGCTTGGGTTTTCACCATTCCCAGCACGCAGGAATTTCAAGGTTGAAAGCCAAGGTGCCTGTCTACAAGTTGACAAGGGAGGGGGTCTGAAAATTAGCCCACAGGCATACCTCCAAGAACGCGCGCCGATCGCTTGAGGGATTTAAACCAACACCAACGGTCACCAAAAATACATAGCTCCTCAGTTGCCAATGTGCTTGGGGCCCAGGAGGCTGTCCCCATACGTGTCGTGCACATCCGGCCCAGCCGTTTTACAGAGGTGTTCTTCTCCCTGGTTAAAAGAACGTTGCAAGGGGCCTGCAACATGTCTCAACAACTCAGCAGAAACCAAACCTCAGAGGAACACAAAGAAGCGCTAACCCCTAGAAGGATCGAACAGTTTATCACGTCGTTTCTATAGAACCCTACGGTTGTTTGCTGCCCTGTCGCTTTTTGTGGCCGTGTTTTTGGAACAAGCCTGGGCTTAAGGATGCAAGAGAGACACAGCTACAGGTTCAAAGATGTGTCCAATGTGAGCAGAAGCTTCAAATAAACAAACAAATAGAGCAAAATCTAACATGGGGAAATGGGGGGTTGATCAAAAGGTCCTTGCGAGCCAGGGCTAAGATATTTGCTAGCTGAGAAGGTTGAGTTTTCCCATATGTTTCGGATGCAAGCTCGAGTTGCCTGGTGGGCATCCGCTGTATATTGCCTTACTTCAGTGGATTCAAAGCTTTCCAGTGCTTATGGCTTTCCCGTTCTTTTGTTCCTCTTTGACGGCCAGCCATTTTTGTCGTCCTAGGTCTTCGGCCTGTGTCTCACTGCAACGCAAACTACCCTCAACAAATCCTTTGCCCGCTCTCTACTTCTCTTTCTAAACTCCTGCGTGCAACCATGGAAACCCTAAAAACAAACAACACATGTTCGAGGAATCTCCTTTTGGGGGGACACCCTTTTCGGCTTCCATATTAACTTGCCGGGGAACCCTTCAATCGCGGGCGGATGTCTTCCAGCGGCTCCAGCGACGTATATTAGCAATCGTGCCAGCAGCGCATGGGAGTAGTGGCGCGGAAAGGCCTCCTTGCCAAACGCGTGTCATGAAACGTTTCAGGCTTGCAGGACTCATATCAAACGAGTCAAACCTCTTGCTTGCACTCTGACAGAGAAATATAGCCACAACGTGGCAACCTCCCACCAGATCTCATATGTCGCCGGAATCAATTCGCGTCCTGGATGGCGGCGACGGTGCTGGGGAAGCGCGCGCAATTGTCCTCTTCGGGGCTTGTTTTCCGCTGCACTGATTCCATCCGCCAAACTGGAAGCGGCAGCAGCCTCAGATCCAAGTATTACTAGTTGTTGCACATCAACAAAAAGCAACTCAGGAATTGCGGGGGTTCAAAACCGCTTCCGATTCAGTCGTATGAACAGCTCCTTTCGAGCCCTTTTGGAGCTGCCCAGCACCTGGGGCTTTGTGTTGGAAAGGCGTTTGGCCGTCCTCAAAGCGCTTGTGATTGAGGAACAAGTAGAGCACGTTCCACATCCCTCGATCCACACCTTCCAAGCTCTCAAGGTGCAAGGCCCAAGCGACTCCGCTTGGAGTAATGTTGACCCCAGATATCAATCGGTCAACCCCATTTTATTGGGGCGTCCCTGGTTTTAGTGGGGGTTCATCACTTCCGGAGGGGAACAGTCCCCATATTGATAAGGGGTTTATTCATCCGGGGTCAACATGCAACACCCGGGGGCTAGCGAAATTATTGCATTGCACCACAATTTAGAAACCAACCACTCACTCGGACAAGGTCAAAGACGCCTTGTCCATTGTTGATATTAATTACCAGCACAGCAGGGTTCACGTTCTTTCTTGAGAGGCGTTTGGGGGCACTTCTGTTCCTTGGTCCAGTCTTCCACACAAAAAGCGCGGTAATCGCCTCTTTGCAAAGTTGAGAATAATCCTTCTCGACCTCAAGCAGTTTGTCTTTGTCATCGACCAAATAAACTAACGAGCCAGGATGAATAAACCCAGGCCAGGCAGCATGCGCGTAATTTAGATTGTGCCTTCAAGAGAGGCATGCCGTGCATTCAAGAGAGGCGCCCTGTCCACTTGTCAACATTGTCGCCACACATGCATCACAAGCATGTTTCGGAAACTGGGTCACAGCAGCCTCCACAAAATCTATGAACTGTCCGGACCCTAAATCACCCCTATCTTCCAATCCTGGTGATGCCGTGTGGCTGCTTTTCCAAGGTTCTCTCCGTTTCCCCTTAAAACATCACCCCAAGGGCCACTCACCTAAAATGGCCCAAACAAGTGATTGAAACCACCAAGACCCCCCGGCGGGCCTTCCACTCCGAGGCCATCTGCCGGCTTGCGAGCGCTGCTGGACCCTGCGGGGTCTCGGTAGGGCTGGAAACCACTTCGCTCCGACCTGGACGAGAGCGAAATCCTAAATGGGGAGCCTCAAAGAAATTGGGTTGCAGGAAAATCTACAGGGAATGGCCCCAAAACAACCTAAATAAGCTGATCTCCTGTAGAATGTCCACCAACCCGTTGAAAGCTATACAAAATGGGTCTGGTATGTGTCGAAATAGGGATTTGGATCCCATGTGGCGATATTTGTTTGTGGCTTCCCTTTCAAACAACCTCAAATCAGTACCCCAAAACGAAACACACACTCACAAATGGTATTCTTTGTGGTGCTCCTTTTGGTGTTTCTTTTCCCATGACCAAGCCAATCTGGGGTTGGAGATGGGTGAGTCCAAACAATGTGTGATCTTCAAACCGGTTGCTTTCCTCTTCTGAAAATACTGTGGAAGGACGAAATCCTGCACTACCTTTCAGAAACCCTGGTTTCTGATACTTCCCTCCACCAACCATGGCTTCATTTCGTGGTTCGAGCGGAAAACGACAACCATCCACAGTGACCTACAATTTCTGCAACTTCTTATCATGTCCAAAACCTGCAAATTGAAATAAGAATTGGATCCCCAAGGATCTTTACCATGGCTTTCGCGAATCGGAGAGCTCGCCATCATGCTTTGGCTTTGTAGCAATCCGTTTGAAATCGGGGGCCATTGGCGATCACCGGTCAGGCTTGAGACGGCCCAAAGGTCAACAGAAAAGCCCGCGGATGGAATCCCCAGCCGAAGCAAAAACCACACACGTCGTAATATGTGCCACGGTCAAAACTCCGTTTCTTTGGCCTACGATCATCGGTCTCTGAGTGGAGTCGGAATCCTTCTGGTGGCTATTCAGGATCCTTACTACCAGGATGACTATCCCTGTTAACCCCAAGCAAAGGAACCGGTCTGTTAACCGTGGCACATGTCATATTTCAGGAATTCTCTAGGGTTTGATTACCCATTCTTTTTAACCATCATTGCTTAGAAACAAACCAGCCGTTTTCCCTCGGATTCTTGAGTCTTTTTAGGAAGAAGGATCCCTGGAAATAATGTACCCCTAGAACATCAAGTAGTCAGAGTGCCAAAACGAGACTCGGAGCGCCGCGCGGCCCGCACCGCCATGAGCTCTGACAGAATTCGCTCATGCCAAGCCTACCACAAACCCACGGTGGGGCGGCTGCCTTTGGCTGTGTCTCTACTTAGATGGTCTGGGACTTAGCTAAGTGGGTAGTAACCCTGGTTGTATCCCACTTACAATGGTTTTAAGTCCCCCATGACCAGGGTTACTAATCACTTAGCCACAAGTCCAAGACCATCTAAGTAGGGGAATCATTTTGAGTGGTGTCCCTTTGGTGGTCCCTGTCAACCAGCCTTAAACAGGGTATCATATTTTTAGACTCCTTTTTGACCCTCTTCTTAGGGAAATAGAAATCAGGAGGAAGCCGTGGCGTTCCAAATGGTTCAAGTGATTTGTCTCCTACCTAAACGCACCATGGCTGCAATGATCTCACAGAAATGCATCATATGCCTCGGCTGCTTGTAACTGGGTCTGGAAGTATCGAACACATCCTCTTTGGGCTTCCTGTGGCAAGGGGTAGAGCATCACGGGTGGGATCCTTGTTTGTTCTGCTTGGGGGGGGGGGGAGGGCATTGGGTGGATCACACGTTTGGATCTATGCCCCTGTGGACAATGCAGTGGAACGGTATGATATACATATAATATGTCAACATATGGCTGTTGTCAAAATCTTCGCTCCCAGTTGTGTATCGTAAATCACCATGCCACGGGGGTCCATCTGGGCCGTATCAGCATATTCTGGCCATTGCGGCACTCTGCCAGGTTTGGGACGCAAAACGTGTCATTGAGTGTCAGGAGCAGCAGCGCGCTCCTTTACATAGCTGCTTGGGATGAACTATCTGAGCTCTCAGAGCCATTGCGTTCTTGAAACAATCAAATGAACTCTCTACAGAACATCTTTCAACAATGAGCAAAATGGAATTGATTTTTTCATATTGTGGGCAGGCGCAGTACTTTCATAAGTGGCAGGTGCAGCGCTTTCGCAAGGGTGCAAATTGCGTGGCAGGCGCAGGTACAGATTCCGTAACAGGCGCAACACTTGCAAAGGGGCAGGTGCAGCTTTTGTCGCCGGCGCGGCACTTTCGCCAGGCGAAAGCAGCATGCGAGGCAGAAAGAAAGCGAGAAAGAGAATGCTAAAAAGAGAAAAGAGAAAAGGAACAAGAGAAAAAAAACAAAGAGACAAAGAGAGAAAGAGAGATGTCACGTGTCAACTGCAAGCTTCCCCACCATAATTAGTGCCGAGCTATCGCCAAGCTAGTGCCGGGGGACTTGAATGATTTAGGTGAGGGCCCGCCACATCCAGAAAAGGACAACCACGAGTTGCAACACAAACTTCAAGCGTACTGTAAATACATAGCTCCTGAGCCAGCCGTTTTGAACGGCTGCCATATAGAGAGATTGAAACTATATTGAATCACAAACTTGAAAACATGCAATTATCCAATGCAACATAGCCATCAGCTGGAATCACAAAAAACATGAAGCGATGGACCGCAGGCAAACAATGCCATGCAGGAAAGAATCGGAGCTACATTCACAGCTGTCAACAACGCCTGCCATGAATGAAATCGTGGTGTGCTGTTGTTTCATGAAATTCACCTAGACATGAGCCCTTCAAATGTAGCACCTGCCTCTGGGAGCAGGAGTGCTTGGAATACTTGCTTCACCCGGGGGCTGCAAGACTGTCATGTCAACCCACCGCCTTCGCAGCATTTTTTAAGCAAATGAAACTCGCGCATCATGGCATCGTCCATCACCACGGCGTCAAGACCGCGGCTGGCTTTGTACAGTCCCTTGCCCAGTGGCTAAATGAAAAAGAACAAGGGCACCTTCTTTTCTGCTGGTTCTCAGCAAATAATGATGCCCATCATGAACCTTGGGGTTCCCTTTAAGGGGATCCTCTTCCGGCTCATCCCTGGGAACCAGCAAGCTTCTTGACCTACACATGGCATCAGGCAGGGATGGAATCCACTGGGCAGGGAGTCCAGAGACGGCACTTCCTTTTGGGTTTGGACAAAAAGAAGTCAAGGGAACGCAAGCTGGTGTTAACAGGGGGCTAAATAATTTAAAGCGCCACCCATTCGAATAATCTTGGCCCTGAATTGCCCAACCTGAAAGGTAAGGGGTTTGCGACTCTTTCCGGCACGCGGTCTAAAATCTATCCCCCCAAGTGTGGAAGAAAGCCACACTCCCTTTTGGTGCTTGATTTTAGCTTGCAAAACCTCCCAAAACCAAGGGCACCATTCGAGGTTTGAGGGAATGACGTGACTTGAGCATCTCAACCTTGAAGCCTGTTTAGCGATCCTTTTGGACTTTAGTCCCACGTCCTGTCCATTTTTGGAGGGAGTTGGGGATGTTTCAACATGAAACCAGGAATTGGACAGCAAGATTTGTTCGTCCTTTCCATCCACCGGGTCCCATGGTTACCACCACACCCAACTTCCTCCAACTTTTTGGACAGTCGGTGGAAGCCTGGGAAAAACTGTGCCAGTGACTTCTCCAGACGATCTGGGACCATTGTGGGGGTCCCCTAAACAAAATGACACACCCAAATAGTGCACCAACGTATTCCCGCAAGAAGATTCATTGGGCCAATGTGGGTTTCATCCTATTTCAGCCTCGCTTCTTACCAGGAATGCTTTCAAAGATTTGCCTTTTGGCTCTCGGAAAAATGGATCAGTGGTTCCAAAGTAGAGTTGCGCCAGACGTCTGGAACCGACTCTTAGAACGAAAAGAGGGTGCTCCATTCGCATGGCTGTCACGCCTCACGCGTGCCATTCCCGGGCCAAGCTGCCGGAAGGTCATACTGCCAGCCCTGGCGCCGTCGGAAGCACGCGGTCAAACTGAAATCTGTCTTAGCTCCATCCTCTTGGCCAAGTCAAGCGCAAAAATGTAGAGAGGTCCACAAGTAGCGAAAGAGTGTGATGGCCTTCTTCGGGATTCCATTGGTGGTAGGTTGGCCGCTCTTGCGCGGTGAGGCAAAGTGTGGTGCAAAGCCGTTTGGGCGGGGCTGTTGCCCAAATATGTGCCAGAGGCCTTACTCTTAATCAGGGCCAACACCGATTTCAATGGATTGATGACCGGCCTTACGAACCCAATACACCAGGTGTATAGACCGTGACACATCTAATGCAGTCTTGGTAGGCATTCCGAATCACCATTTGCTCCCCATTGCAACGGAGCTGTCAAGACTTCTCGGAAGCACAACTGCAAAAATATTCCAATGAGCAACTCTCCCGCCAATAAATATTAGATATTTGTGCTCGACGACTAGTGACGATGATGATTAAAGATGAAGAAGACCAAGATGATGATGCTTCCATGACGACGACGGCGACGACGGCGACGACGACGACGACGATGAGGAAGATGCAGTTGCCCAGAGACTAAAAATGTCCCAAACCCATGGCTCAGGCTCTAAGGCTCCCACCACCGTCTGATGGGGCCACCCCGGACGCATCTCCTCGCCGGATGGCGCAATGCTGATTCCAAGCGAGCGCACGACACCGCGATTGTCAACACCTGTCCTATGGTTGTCAAGCGCCCCCAAATAGGAACTTGACAACCACGGGCGGGCACTTCAAATTTGGTAGGGGACAGTCACAACTAGTAGGTTCGGCCGCCCTTTCAATTCACGTGGGTAGACTCGTCCACAGTTGGTTGAAAGAAGATGGCACAATTCTCCCATTTCGGTTTCAGCGCTCCCTTAGAGATATAAGAACGTTGCGCCATCTACTTCACCGCGGTGCAACCTTTTTTGAAGGCGGCTCCACTGCCGGGTCTATTAGAGTAGAATCTACTTACCGGTCTATTTATTGGTCGACGTGTTTGGGCACTAGACTCGATCCACAGGTTCTGTTCCAGCAGCGAAACTGCTTATAAACTTGTGGGTTGTGTGGAGGCACGAACGTCGGGGAATGGTATTGCAAGTAGGAAACAAAGGAAACCCTGAAAATTAAACCATTGTGATTGGTTTACTCGCAATATTTACGGCATCCACCGTTCCCGGCTCCCTTTGAGCTGAGCAACCAGGTCTGGCAAAAAGTCGAGCCACCCAGGGCTTCTTGGTGCTTCTGTTTCGGAATTCTTGGCTACTCCTCCATCGTCAACAGATCTCCAGGCTTTTCAAAGACCCCAGCAAATTGGTTGATTCAACAAAAGCGTCCACGAACTCGGGGGTGCGACTGAAAACTCACAAGCTCAAGACAAGCTCAAGCGAGGAAGGAACCTTCAGACTTGTCGCAAACCCTGGTGAGCTCATGACTTGTGCCCCGGAATCAACACACAAATTGTGGCATGGAGGGAGCATAAATTGAATATATGTAGTTCTCAGGCGTTTCGGCCACAGCATAACCTTCTCCGCACCGAACAACACCGACACATGCGCGGTCGACGCAACCTGACACTGGGTTTGTCCCAAAACGGGTTTGCAAAACTGGGCTGTCCTCAGATCTCCTGCTATAAGTTGTCTTTTTGTGAGTTAAATGGAAACCCCTGCTAAACCCTAAAACCTAAAGGCCTAAGCAGACTGCTGGGAACCCTCCAAATCGCAGTGCGATTTGAACCCCATTGATGGGTTCGAACATGGAGCCCTTTAAGAGGCCTAGCAGAAATCCATCACGACACCTGAGACCCAAACCATCCAAACTTGGCCCAAGCTGTGTCAAAACTCAATATGACCATGGGCGTGGAGTCATGAACCCTGTCTGGTTGTCTAAAACCTCGCCCATGACCAGGTTTACCCTCCTACCAACCTACCAACCAACATGGAACCTGACAGGGGATACCTTTAAAAGAAAAAACAAAACAGGTTTCATTTTCATGGGTGGGAGGGCATCAGGGAAAATGGCCTGCCAAACCCTTAATTGTTCTATGATTCTTTTTGGGAGGGTAGCCTCATGTGGATGAAGACTCCGGGTACCCGTAAACCAAACGTGGCTGGTTTCCTCTTGATTTTCCCGGCTTTCTCGCGACCCGATCTCTCGAGAGCCGAGTGCCTTCCAGGAAGGCCCGGTGCAAATCCATGCGGCACAACGGGCAGCGCCGGCCGCAGCGCAGCCAACGCACCAGGCAC